TAATCCATGATTTATTGCACTCTATTATAGGAGATGGAAAATTACCCCATATTGTGAAGAACAGATTTCTCTTACTTTTTGCCATATCCATATTACAGGATATCAGGTATATAAAAAAAATGTAAAGGCATTACTTTTTTAAAAAAGTTCTACCTTAGAAACTAATCTGTGCAAGTTCTAACTCATATGAAACTGAACATTGTAGGTGCAATAAGTAGATCATTTACTACCCACAACACATGGCCTAATATTAATTATTGCATACTGCCACATGTAAGATTAGATTCAAACTGGACAGCAAAACTTCCCAAGGGACATCTTCAAACTGGATTACATTAATTTTTAGTCCCATCCTCCCCTTAATAGGAGTTGGTTATTCTTGCTGCATTGCAGTTTCTTTAGAGTAACTGAAAGTTTTAATCAAAATACATCTCTCCTTTAATTCTTCCCAAATAAATTAACAAATCCTTAGTGATATTTTTGAAGCTAATTTTTAAAAGTCACTAAACCACAGAATGAAAGAAAAATGCATTTTACCTCCATTGTTATTTGATAACCTTGGAAAGCCTTCAGTCTCTTTTGTTTCTCTTCTTCTTGCCCCATACTTATCCATGTGTCTGTAATTAAAACATTGGCCCCCTTTGCAGCTTCCAATGGGTTAGTTGTGAGAAGCAATTTGGTGCAGTACTGATGCAAATAAAGGAGAAGAGGAATGCTAAGTTAACATACTGTAGACTAGAAATCAATTTTAAAATTTCACGCTCATACCTTTATAGAATATTCTTCAGCTATTTTGATTACTGTGGGATCTGGCTCAAAACCCTATCAAATGAGAAGAAAAAATATTACAATGTATTCTAATATTGATAAAACTACTGCCAACTTTCTGAATATGGAGTAATTATAAAATGCCCAGCCTTATAATGGCTTCCCTACTTAGCAGGGTAAAAGGATCTCTATGCTGAAATGTGTGTTATGTCACAATTTAACTTTCGCTGAATTAAAGTCTGCTCCTTAATGAGTCTCCACCAGAAAATAAAATAATATTTCTCTAATTTGCACCTTTTTATTACAGTTACCTGGATGACTGGTGGGTACTCAACACATTTAACTTGGGTTTTCTACCTACACAATAAGTGGCATGCCTTAAAAACATAATTCTTCCCATCCTCCTTCAAGGACTGTCATGTTCACTTGATAGATTATTACTGTTATATAATGTCAATATGCTTTCTTTTCAAGTACAATGATAAAGATGTGGCTGTTTTCATTATGATTTGATCTGGAAGGTGACTAGATAGAATGATTCCTTTTTCACCAAATGGTTAAAGTCCTTGCTATATAGAATCATTTCTAGATCTCTATACAGGTAGTCCTCGCTTACTGACCACTCGTCCAGTGACTGTTAGAAGTTGCGACGGCACTGAACGAGTGGTACTTACAACCAGTCCTCAAAATTCCAGCCACTGCAGCATCCCCGTGGTCACATGATCCTGATTCAGATGCTTGGCAATCAGCTTGCACTTACAACGGTTGCAGCAGTGTCCCACGGTCATGTAATTGCCATTTGCGACCTTCCCTGTGGCTTCCCACAAGCAAAGTCAATGAGGAAGCTTGCAGGGAAGGTTGCAAGTCACTCTGGAAGTCCCCCCCCCCCCGCTTTCCTATACGCCATGCTGCATTCTCCTTCCCTGGGCCTACCTGTGCTTGCACACATGCACACACCCACCAGCATCCTCCTTCCTGGGCTTCCCTGCAATCGCATGAACCCCATGCCCTCCTGTCTCGGTCTCTCTGTGCTTGTGCCACTTGTTCCACACTGCAGCACCCCCCTCCCCCAACTCACATGCAGCCTGCGCCAGGCCTCCCAGGGCCTCCCTCACCCCCGTGGCACCCCAGTGCTTCTTACCTGGGACTCCCACCACTTCCCGCTTAATAACCCACCATCTTGGGTTACAACGAGAATTGGGACTGCCTGCCTTTGCTAAGCGATGTGGTCATGTGATGTCATGCTTTACAACCTAATTGCTTAGCAACAGCAATCCCAGTCCCAATTACCATCATAACTCAAGGACTACTTGTAGTTTTACGGTATTGCCTGTGTGAAGTAAATGAGCTGATTTATTACTGGCCCAGCTGCAAAATACCCACAGTGGCAAAAAAGGAGGAGGAGGAGGAGGAGGAGGAGGAGGAGGAGGAGGAGGAGGAGCAG